TCAAATAATGAAACTATTGCACAGTATACAAGGAATGTCATATAACTTTTTATAGTCACCCTATGCTTCCGAGGCGTTGAACTCAGATAACTATAGATTACTGAACTTCATCCTCAGTGAAAATATGTGATCTAATCTGAGATCCTCTATGCAAGCAAAATACTGATCCATAACATTTCTGCAAACATTTTAGGTCAACGCATGCTTCGAAACATCATGCCAAATTGAATTTTAATTCGTACAAGAAACACTCGTAATAATGGAGACGCGCACATTTATTTTCATGCAGAAATATTTTTCTTTGAACTCTTTCAACACTTTTAAATTCTGCGTGACGCGCAATAGATTTTTTTTTTTCGGGAAATTCCTGTGCAGGCGGTGTTGCACAAATAATTTTCGCAAATAGTCGTCGTTTCGATTCATTTTTTACCTAGTGCTAAAGTATCGAGAAGTAGAGTAATCAAAGTTCATCACACGAGGTTCCCTCGCGTCCGACCAACGTTTTGTAGAGGTGCTCACAGCTGGAGCCGAGTTCCATTCATCCGCGAGCACTTTAAAAAATTTCTCGCTGCATTTAAAGTCCCGGACGTGATAAATCTCCGCCTTTCAAATGCTGAGCAATTCATTGGAGCCTCAACAAATAACCGACCTGTTCTCTCCTCTGAAAAGAGCTTTTCCTATTATTTGTCTCGTTAACCACGCAATCATCAACTGTGGAATGCGGTGATTCTGTATTATTCCATGAAAAATGTAGCGAAACTTTTTTTTCCCAATCATTCAAGCCATTAAAATGAACCTGTGTTGAATAAACTTTTGCAGAATTATTTCCACAGCGAATTTTTAATTAAGTGCTTGTATTTTACGGATGCTCGAATTTCGACGCAAATTTTCATTGAGTTTTTTCTTTCTTTTCTTCTCGAAAAGATCCTTGCTATTGTTGGAATAGATGGGATAATATTTAACGAAAAAATTTGTCGCCCACTGTAAATTTTAAATATTTATTTTTGTGCACCAGAAGTAGAATATGAGGAGATAAAAAATGTAACTTTGACGAGTTTTCCACGCAATGTTTCCAATTTTTCATCTAGCTGAAAAAATAATCGTTCTGCTTTGAAACATAGATAAAAATAATAATAAACTCGCTTGAATTTTCCCATGTACACAAGTATAAAAACATTCCCTCCATAATGTTAATGTGTCAAATTCAACGTCCGATTTTCGTAGCGTCTGGAATACAGAAGTTTGATTGATTATTTATAGATATTTTTATGATTGTTTGCTGTTTTTAAAGTATGATGGGGGAAAAGAAGCGAGAACAATTCAATGGCAATTAGATGAAAATAGCATTCGACCCTGAGTTCCGATGCGTTGTGGTTCCCAGTTTCACAGTAATTCTCAATTTTAAAACCCTAAAATTGTCTGGGTCATCCCGCATGGGCCTCGTCCCATATAACGTCATTATTTACAATGCGTCTCTTACTTAAGATTCCTTCTAAGAATTCGAAGTATTGTGGACAGCATTAATCGTTTATCTTCATTATCTGATTTAGACGGTAATTTATATGAATTTCAGTGTGTTTATTCCTTATTGCAAACAAACTTCGTAAAAGGGTGGAAAATAGAAAATACATTTTTTTTAAATGAAACGGGGATGGAGGGGGGCACCCACGGAGCGATAATTTCTCAACGCCGCGTTGCTATGTCCTGGGTTTATTTTTATTTTTAAAATTTTATTTTTATTTTTTTTTCTCCCCGGGGGAGCGGAAATTGAGTTCCGCAGGAACTGAAAGCAGCGAGATGGATCTTCGGCGGCTGCGCGCGGCGGTGCTACAGAATATAACAAACGGCCGCCTCTGCGCGTGGATGCCGCCCCTTTCCCTCTCTTATTCGGGCGAAACCGAGTCAATCTCCAGAGTTCTTCATCACTTTTTTTTGTTGTTGGTTGCCATCATAAATCACTGGTGTGCAAAGCGATGCCATATGATATGAATGAAGAGTGTTGGTAAGTGTAAATGCTGACACCACTCGTGGAAATAATGCAGCCGAATTACGCGCAGAAAAGGCGCGCGAATTTTCTGGATGGGCGCCTTTATATTTCTCGTGTCTGGATTTGCGAATTCTGGAACGGATACTGGAGTTTATGGAACATGTGCTTACAAGTTCAGGATCATGTCAACTCATTTAAGAAGCTCTTGCAGGCCAAGAAAATATCTCTAATTACAATTTCCTGTAATTCATCTTTCTTTCCCAAATCAAAAATGCTTGTTTCCCTCACTCATTTTTTTTCCTTTGTTGCTCTCTTGAAATTCAACTTCAAGATGTTTTGACTCTATAATCAAATACATGCGGACTTTCTCTACAATGATCTTGTCTACAAAAATTTTCTCTGTTCTGTATAACATTTTTTGGGTTCCAATCAGGGTTTTTGTCTGATGTTACAGGATTTCTCCACAAAATTACCAGGTTTTGATGTAAAGAGTTTGTATAATCAATTTAGGTTGTTCCACGATATTCATAATCTTTTTTATAGACAAAACCCAGAATTAGTCATCACTGCAGTGATGATTGCGGCTCGTCCACCGTTGACAGAAGTTTATATCCTTCTTCAGCTCTTCATCCTCACACTACTTTACAAATAAAATGGCGCTCGCCATTTTTCCCATATCATGCGCCGTTTCGTGTGTGACGCGACGTTTCGGAGACCCGCTCAATAACACTGCTGTCCGCGGGCACCACATTCTTTCGCTCCGCATTCTTCGTCGGGCCACGCAGCATATACTTGCGGGGGAAGACACGTATATATATATACATGTAGCAGTAAAGGAATAACAAAGCTGAGCGACAAACGTCCATCGTCTCGGACGCATAATGAATCAGCTGCCAAAAGGCTTTTTGGCCAACGCCTTTTCGGCTCTGCGTCGGGGCCAGTCGTCTTCTCTATAACCGCGTCGTCGTCTCTGCGGTGTGTATTCAAGCATCACCGCACGATATATATATACGCACACATGCTCACGCGGAGATAAAATGAATTTTTAAAAATAAAATGGAATGAAAGACATTTAGGCGGCCTCGTATGGTGTAGTGTGTTGCCCATAGCATCGAGCAGCAAACCGCGGGTCGACCCGTTTGCGGGCCCACAAATCACGGGTGAACGGGGCGCATCAATCCCCACCGGCGGCTGTCGTAAATTAGCCGCGTTTTAATTACGCCTTTTCGCGCGCGCACAAAAAACCCCCGGCCCTGCCCCGCGCGCCAAACATAATACCGTATGCGTGTGCGTGTGTGTATTTGTATATATACACACACACAAACAGAGAGGAGCACAGGCGGCCCTTTCCCAGCGGGGTGTCGTGGTGGTCTAATAACTCCGTGATGCGTCCCATCCATCCATCGGATGTGTGGTTTCCTTGATGGCGCGGTCGCAGGATGAGAAAAAGGCTACATCAGTAGGACAGGGGCGGCCCATTATTGGGGGGGTATGGGGAGGGCGACTTATTGTCGTGGCGGCTGTATATCTGGCTAGCTGTTTCTTCCGAAAAACCTACAAGATTCCTTTTCCTTTCAGCTTTCCCCCGTTTTTAATCTGAAATTTACCCAGGAGATATGGTTCTGTGTCCTGCAAACGGTTCTTGAAAGGTATATATTTCTGGGTGGGTTGGATGAACAGTATCCAGATGATGGACTCTCTCTTTAGCTGTCTCTATACAACAGAATTCAGGGGACCAGAAAACAATTAATTGTAGAGAGAATTTACTTGTAGATAACCTCTGTATATAACTATAGGAGGGGTATACAGTATAATTAATGCATAGAGACCCCTGGATCTATAAAAACAATTTTTGCATGTAGAAAATTGTTGCAGACTGAGTATATTTACCTGCCTTGTTAACTTTGAGCATATACATCCTAACTATTAAGTAAAAGAAAGCACCATATTAATTTTTGTTATAGAAAAGTTTGAGTTAGAAATTTGAATACCTTATCCCTCTGTGATGCATCAAACACACACACACAAACGTTTTCTGTTCAGCTAAATATCATGATGTTTCAAAATCTGCTGCAATAACAAATGAATGAATAAATTTTGGTTGGAATTAAATAGCTGTATGCAATAAAGTCACCAGCAGTTGGCCAGGGACATCCCCAGTAAAGACATTTTTCATTCATTTTTAAAATTTGTTTTATGGTTGAAATATTTTGCACTCAGCAAAATCTACAGCTAATCTGGCACTTGTGCTAAATGCACCTGAACAGACAAGCAAGCAGGAAAAAGGTTATCATATAAGCTATGCTGCTGGAGTTCAGGTCACAGCACAATCCAGGTGAAGGTGCTGTATTCCTGTTCCTCATACTTTTGTGTCATGCCTGAAGCCTGATATAAGAACTTATTCATACATTCTTTTGAATAGTGGCGAATAATTTTCTTGACAATTATATACAGTAACATACTGTGATAGCAGGTAGAGAGAAGCTTATAAAAAACCATGAATATAAGTGAATAGAATTCATCAATTATTTATTCAAGCCAGTATTTAAATTCTGTTTTTTTTCACTTTTGAAATAAAATATACTATATTTTTGTTTTATGTGAGTTCCTTTGTGATCTCAGCACGATACACACACGTATCTTTATGGGTGTACAGTATATATAGAGCACACCACTAGGATAACACTTCATTAATTTTTAAATTTTTTTGGCAGTGTGCGTCAAAGTAAAAATACAGCATCTTCACCAGGATAAAATCGAGACATTGTGTTAAAAATTTTCTCTACAACTTGGTGCACTTGACTGCTTTAACTTAATGGTTGAATAAGATAAGCCACGCTCCGAACTTCTGGGCTTCGAAGTACAGTACTGTACAGTAAAATCAAAACACATATGCTGGAACGCACCTGTCAATAAATAACGTCCATGGGTACGGCTAATTTTGCTTCAACTCTGAAAACCAGTCAAGAAAATCATTATCTTCAATAAAACGCAATAAAGAAGCAGCATCAGGTCATGAGTTCGGGTGTTTCATTACTTCATCTAAAGCGTCTAAAGGGTATCATTCGAACTCAGCATATAAGATTGGGATGAGACGGTGCCGAACTTCCAATACAGCCGACGAGCAAAATAAACGCAATATTGCACGTTTGCACAAACATTTTCACTTTTCCTTTTTTTGTTTTTCTCGGTACTTTTAACAAACAAAACAAACACGTTTCGGAATATACATGCTACTGGCTTTCGATTGATTGTCAATTATAGGACTTTCGCAAATACTGCTTTGTTACACCGAACACATCTCCTTCGCACAAGTAAAAGTTTTCCTCAGCACTCGTTCGGGTAACGCGGGTAAAAGCTGGTCGGGTTATAAAATAAACAGGAATGTCTCTTGAAAAGGACGCAAAATTCGTTTGCACAGGGGATTTCTTTTCCGTAAGCATCTTCCCTAAAAATACTTCTCCTCGGAAATTTTGTTGCGTAGTTCTGAATGCTGGAGGACAAGTGCCGAAAGCATACTACTCTCTGTGACGAGCCTTCTCACAGCAAAATAAAAGAAAAAAACCGGAAAACTTTCATAGGATTCACGAACTACTGTATCATGATAAAATAAAAAAGACGAAAAAATAAACACGGTAGCAAGAATGGAAATTTACGCAAATATAAGACGCCATCAACTCTCATGTCTTTAGTTCCGGAAACGGGAAAAACGCTTGCTGGCAAATTGAGGACACAATTGACATTTTCCTCAACATTTTCTGCAAGGGTGGATCAGAACTCCACCAATTTCCAATAGATAGATCGAATATACTGTATCATCAAACGCATCATTTACTGCAAAAAACAGACTGAAGGGATGATTCGGTCTCCAATTAGAATGGAATTAACCTTGGAAACAATACTTCCGCATAAACTGAAAAAATAATTCGCGAGAAGCCAGATACTTCCTCACATTTGCACTTCGCATCGTCAAATTTCTGTTTGTCAAGATAATATGCGCACTTCTCAAGCATTCTCCCAGGTACTGAGATGCTCAAAAGGCTCATGAAAAAATTAATCCTTCGAATGGGTGAAAATTTAGGAATACCCCTCGCGTAAAAAAAAAATAACAGGTGATTCCGGAACACATTCTCATATTTCATCAGTCGAAGAGGAAGAAAATTGCGTCTTATATTCGCGTAAATACAGTGCCTCATTTTCGGATGCTCAATAGATCCAAACCTTGGAAGAAGCACGATTCGATGCAGGATTCTAGGTAAGTTAAAATAAATGCAGTCGTTTCAAAACCAAAATTCGATTTCCAAAAATGAAAAAAAAAAAAAAAACAGGAAGCAGAAACGTGGATCCTTCTCGATGAAAAGCATCCCGCTGTTCATCCGACTAATGCTAACGCGTGAATCAGAGGAACCGTCGCAGCAAAAAAACATTTTGTTGGCATCAAAGCGTTCCGGGAATCCTTTTCAAATATAATAAAATCAAAAAGAAATAAGCTGATGGAAAGCCCTGCACGAGATCCAAGCAAATTTCGGAATGCCTGAGATGAAATCACGACGCATTCTCTTTTCCCGAGGAAGCTGGAGATCCGGATCTCGAACTACAACATCATTGAACACATTGAGTACATTGCACTGATTGCGAACGATCGTTTTGTTTGATTGTCGTCGAGGAAGATTGCTGTCCAGACCACGGCGTGGAACGGAAAACAAGCCGAAAAACATGTTTAAACATGTTGAAAAGCAGTCGTCTTCCACACGGGAGGTTAAATGTAACCAACAAAAAAAGAAAAATAAAACAGCACGCCACCATAACAATAAACCCATTGACATCGTTTGTCCCAGGTAACGTCTCACAGCACGTTCCTACACAGGCGCGGATTTGTATTCTCTTTTCGTTTTCCTTTTCTTTGAGGTCATATTTTAACAACGAATTTCTAGACGCCCAATCCGGATTTTTCCCATTCACAAGCCAACAATAATGGCAGATCAGAAGAAGCATGTATGAACAATATATTGTACCGCAATCTGCTCCTGAAATAACGCAGGCTTTTCACCAGAAGTTCCTTCACAAAATAAAAATATGATTTATTTTCAAGGTATGTTCTCAATGGGACTAATTCACCGGATAAAATCGCCATGAACACTGCGAAATTGAATCCAAACAAATACAGCAAGCTATATGTTAAAGTGTTCTTACAGGAAGATGTCGCAGCTACATCATAATCTATGCTAAGGCATTCCAAGGTACATCAAAGTCTGCAAATTTCATTTGAATTTTCCAGACAAACGGAATCGGGGGACGGGGCTGTCATCACAGATCCAATAAGAATAATACTGCAGCATGAAAACCGGAATTGTTTTCTTCACCAACCCTAGGAAAAGTACTGTACAATATCCCTTATTCACAGAATTGAAATCCATTAAAAAAATTTAACTGCTATCGCCTATAGGGTTTATATTTAACGAGGTCAGAAGATCACGCTTGGTGCCATTTTGCTAATTTGCACGATTTTTAAAGAAGCCCAGTTCATATCATAAGTCAAGAGTACAGTACCAACCAACAACTGCAAGCTTCTCACAATAATCGGAAAAAAACAGGCTTGTAACGGGAAAAATCCGGAAATTGCACGAAGTCCTCAGCAATAGATGATGAACCCACTCCTCAATCATTCCGCATCTACGACCACCGACGCAGTCACTCAAGGCCTAGAATACCTCTAGCCAAAAACTGTTCCTCGTAATAACTTCCAGCTTTAAAATAATTCGTAGTCGATGTTGCTATGTTAAGTCCCTCAGTTTGCGGTGTTTAAAAAAATTGCGAAAAGCTAGAAGCACGACAGATTTTGCTCCGATCTAAAAGGTACAACTGTTCGTTAAAAAAAATCGTAGGTCCCACCTCTTCGATTCCTTTCGTCGTTGAAGCAATACAAAATTTTGCCTGACATTTGGTCCAGTTCAATACTGTTGAGTTCAACGACTTCCCCAGCGATAAAAATGAAAGAATTCTTGGGAAGTTCGCAATGCATGAATTCTGAACGACAAACGGAAAATCCTAGTCTAGCAAACAACAAAAAATAAACTGCAATACGCACTACCTAAAATCTAATTCGAAGTACAAATTACTGGAAAGCAAAGAACAGGTTTCCGAAATGACCCCAAACATGACGAATTACTGGGATTAAAATCCCAAATGAATTCATTGAAAAATTGGCGGAAAAGCGAACACATTGAACACGGAAAACACGCAGTTTTACTAATAAATTTCTACTCCCTTTTTTCGATTGTCTTCCATTGCTTCACCGTTTCGACGAGCCAGAATTTTTCTCTGAAGATTTCAGGTCTTTGATGCCCTGGAGTATTCTCTTGACGTGTCCCAGTTTCTTGATTTCCAACTCCTGAAAATAAATGTTTCTGTTGTTATTTCTTCTTTGAATACAGTATTTGAAGCATTACTACGGTTAGAAAAAATCTTCTCCACACTTCTCGAAATGTCATCGATGAAGGAAACTGCGTTTCTGCGATCATTTCTTCCAAGATTTGAAAGCGCACCAAAGATTTCGACCTTTAAACCTCACGAAAATTTTGCAATCAAGGTTACAGTATTCCGTTCAAATAACGCGTTTGCGAATTGAAACGAAGTACAGTGCTATACTTGAAAATTTCAGAAGTGGCAATTGAACGTAGAAAACTCGGTTGAGAGACCTTTATGGAGTCTGGAAAACCTCATGTACTCTTTGCAGCTTCAAGTCATTCATGTTGAGAGATTTTTTGGAAAATTGACTTCTCATTGGAACAGATCGTTGTAGCAATCTAAAAATCACTGTAATGTACTTTGAAAATCGCCAAATTACCTTCAGATCGCGACGATCCAGCTGCAGAAGCTCCGATCCCCGGATGTCATGAAGCTTGAAAGTTTCCAAATGCTCTCCGAGATCTAATGTCTCCAGCCAAGCACATACATCTTGTAGAGTCCATTCCTTCACTGACTTTTGCGCTGGACCACTACTCGTTGTTCCAGACCCGTGCCCACTTGTGTTGCTCGGCTGTTCTAAAGATCCCACTGCTCCTACTTCCTGAGCAGCTGATCGAGTCCCGACATTCATGATGTTCGCCATCGACTTCCTCGTGTTCCACAGGCCGCGGAGGAAGCCTTTGCTTCCTCTCTTCTTATCCTTCAATTTAATGGCGGAAGGAAGTTATCCTTTGAAAAATTTTCTCTCACTTTTCAGGAACTTGCAAAGGAAAATTACTAACGTCACGGTATGCCCGATGGAACAATAAAATTTAACAAGCTGAGTTAAATGACGCTACACTAAAAGATTATTCTAAAATATATTCTCTTCACAACAGTTCGTGGAAGGTTAGAGACAATCCTCGTTCAAGCATCAAGAAAAGAAGCTTCAAGCTCAAAATATCAACGTGTTTCCAGATATTTTTCCTTGCTCGTTCCTTGGCGCGATACTTCTTCCCGAACAAACAAGATTTCCTCTACATCTCAAAAAGTAGTCGCGAAAGATTAAAAATTATATTCCCTTCGAAATCTTCACCATACTGCAGCAATGACGGATTTTTACCGTTTTTCAGGTTTATAACGTTACAGCACTAAAAATACAATGCAGAAAATTATTTCAGCCTTTAATTTAATTAAATTTAAAAAATTTAATTATTTTAAATTATTTCACTACAGTTTACCTTACACCACATCAGTGTGCGTATGAAGATCAACGTGACTTTTAGAAGAGACGATCACGAAAACGTATATTGCTGAAAATTTGAAGAATCGAGAACGCTATTTCACCTGTTCATCATCTTCAGAACTCGGGGCAAAATGGACAAATCCATCTTTTTCCTGAGCTCTCCTTAGCTGTTTATCAACATGAGCACACACGGAATGAAGGCGAGTCTCCAATACCGGACTCAGTGCATGGACTCCAGAGTCTCTCAAGAACACGTTCAGCATTTCATGCACTTCTCTGATCGCACGAACCATTTCTGTCGCTGTTTCCCTCAAGAAACCCTTCAACAATGGAAACAATTTTATTAAAAGAACTTTTTACTGTACATTGAAAACTTATTCGCATACCCCGTCATGCATATTTCCGTGAGGGAACGACTTGTCCATCATTTCTGAGGCGAAATTCGCTGCTGCAAGTATTTCTTCTCCAAGAATCAATCCGCTTCCGTCCATGGCACTCAATTTGATGGTTCTAATGTAGAAAAAGGCATAAAAAATATGTTTATTCAAAGGTACTGTATTACGACGAGGAATGGCAAATACCTTATAAGACTGAGTCCGTTTTCGAGCAAGGCCGAAAGAACGACCTTTTCTTCATCAGACATCGGCGTCACGTGGATGTTCGACCTATTCCCGGGGCTCGGTTTATTCAGAAGCTTTTCTTGCCACGATTTCAAGGTAGTTTCCAGTTGCTGAAACGTTAAAAACATGAGCAGTTGAAGAACAGGAAAAAAATTCACAAGTATTACTCTGTTCCTCGAAAGCATTTGCACACGATTCTTATGCACGATGCGAATTATTCCAGGGGGTTGAATCCAGGCTTCGCCATCAACTTCAACAGGTACTCCCTCTCCTAAAAGTCGAAGTGGACAGTTGAATTTAAAATGAATAACATCAAACTGACATCGACGAAGTACCGAATATAGTAATTTTGATGGACGAGCACTGAGCAATACGATGCCGCTGAAGATTCAAAATCCTGCTAGCAGCCATGTGAGTTGTTCCGAATACAGCCACGACTTCCAAGATTTTATCGTCCATGGACGGGGCGGCAAAGATGGCGTCCGACTTATTTCCGCCCCAAAAGTTCGCCCCTCCCATAAAACTAAGGAAAAATAAATCTCTCATCTTCCGACGAATTTGCGCAAGAAAGGATTAGTGACTTACCTGGGAATGTTCAGAATAGCAATTCCCTGCAAACTTGGCAATGGGATCCTCTGCCCATCACACTCCAGATGCACCCTCTGTTCCAAATTTTTGTACGTTTTCTGGTCAACACAAAAAGAAACGAATTCAGTACATGCTACAGCATTTCTTTTTCATCGGCCGCGGGATGAACAAACCTGGATCATTTGCTTGGATCCAAGCATTCCATACCACATGAAGTTTCGAGTTCGAGATCTACACTTTTCAGGATGCTCTTCACGTTTAATATGGAAATCGAGAGTGATTTTCGCGTCTATTCCGATACCCATGTAGTTGTTCATCGTGCATTTTTCATCGAATCCCTCCCTTGAACATGAATAAAATATACAGAATCAGCGCATAAAACAACGCCATGACAATCTTTCCCGGACTTCACACTTACATTGAAAAATCATCGACGCCCATTAAGGGCAAAGCTGAGGCGCACAAAGCATCAGCATTTGCCAGAAGAACTTTGCTTATTAGTCCAGTTCCGGAATGGGCAGTTACATCTGCAAACGAAGATAGTCGCATTTCAGTGACGTATCAAATACCGTACATAATGACAGAGGCATCATTAAACGTAAGTAAGCATAAAAAATTCTCAACAATTCCTGAATACACTACCGACATTTCGAAGATCCCAGGACTTGAATAGCATAAAATGATCAATGTGAACAAAATTCTACATGCTCTTATGAACTTTCAAAATGAGGCTGCTCGGAGCAACTGATGGACTCCATAAAATTATGGACTATAACTTTTTTCATCCTTCTACGAATACGATGGTGAGTCCGCTATGGCGTTATCCTAAGCAATCGTTTTCAAAAAATACAGTGTCTAATACCCGCGTACCTCTACGATATCCATTGAATAAGAACTGCCGACACGTCAAATTTGTGAATTGTTCGTATAGTAATGTATACATCATAGTAATGTACTGTACGGTATACTATGTTTCCGTATAGTATGACAGTTATTTTCGATTGAAGAAGTCGGTCAAATTTTCTGGAATGTCGGATAGGCGTCGTCCGAATTTTCAACCAGACGAAACCTAAAACAACTGCCACCAATTCTGTTCCTATAAAGAAAACCACGGTGACGCATGGAGGCGCTGAAAAGAAATATTTTTTAACGATCATCATTACTTACTTGGCCACATAGGCAGTTGTACCAGAGGATTGATAATCGGGAGTTTCCTCTTCCCGTTGACCACAGTGAAACTCGTCGATGTGGTGCTGCTATTCGACATGGATGGCACAGCCGCACTCGGGCTCCTAAACCGTCGCATCCTGGGCATGGCAAGCATGGAAATTCTTCTAGTCGTCAACGACTTGAGGTAAGAAGCAGTCGAAGAGCCGCTGGATCCGACATCGGCGCCACTCAGCGGTGCATTGGCGCCTGGCGACGGCGGCGGCGCGTGAGAAAAGCTAAAGGATCTCGGATGCAGTAACCAACGTGGGCCCAAGTGCGTAGAGGACTTTCTTCCAGGAGAATATGACGAGGAAATGGTCGGTGCTTCCGCTTTGCTCGACTTTGAAGGAGACACAGCTGCAGACATCACGTGTCCCGCCGAAGAAGCGATGGACGACTGCCGGGTCCGACTCATCGGCGTGGAACTAGGAATACATCGCATTTGAAATACACGCATCAGTACCATTCAGTAACTATGAAACAGTCAATCTTGTGGGATGGAAATCAAACACGATCCGAAAAATAAGTACTGTACAGGATTTCGAGTGCTTCCACTAACATGAACTCATGAAGGCTATGTACGCCTCGGTGGGAAAAAAGGAGATTTCGACGCATACCATAAAATTTTACGTAAAATTGAGTTCGTTCGCTGAATCTTGCCAACCCGTTTTAACAATTATTTCAGCATCGAGAATATACCGGATCTCCCGGAAATTGCGAGAAAAGTTAACTTATTCGAGAGATCCGAAAAATCAATAATATTCTTTTCTTGAATATTTTGCGTCATGAGAGATCTGAGCTTTTAGATTCACTGAGAGTGGAGGTATTAACAATTTTCAGGGCTTAGGTGTAAATTTTTAAAACCTCCACTTTCAGTGAATCTAAAAGCTCAGATCTCTCATTCTCTCAATTGAAATATTTTTCACGACATACCAGTACAGTACAGTATTTGAAGGGTGATCATTTCCATCAATAAGGAATAGGGCTTATATTTTGTGCGGGGTTTCAATGTGATGTGTCAAAGAATTATCCTGGGTTAATTTCATACGAGGGCCATGTCTTCGAGAGAACGTAACAATAGAAAACATGTTCGGTCTCAGATGAGAACCAGAAAAACGATCACCTGTAAACATTGGATATAATTTCCGCGTCGAACATGGGTACGGTAAGCAGACTTGCAGAGGGTTGAGGTTGACCTAGAACATCTTTCGTTTCTTCGGGATAAGAAGCTTCATCCTTTTCTTTCCCGTCCTTCTTTTCCTCGTCGGGCGATGGCATGCTCAAGGTGATGGCAGGCAGGATTATTTCTTCTTCGACACTGTCGAACTGACTACCCATTCCTGTTTTCACAGGTGGACAAAGATGATTGTCTTTCTGATAAGAGGAATTGTCAGGTGGCTTCAGTGTGTCAAGCTGAGGTTTCTGGTCTAGTAAAATTATCTCCTCGGCGACTGGAAACTCAGGAATGTCAGCTGGATTAGGGTCCAAGTCAAAGGAATCCATCATGGAGCCTCGCGGAGTGTTCAAAAGCCTCGCTGATTTCTTCGTGTTTTCCTGTTGCTGTTGAAAAAATTATCAGCATTCATCACCAATGAAAATTAAGAGACACGGATGAAAAAACGTAATTCCTTCGGAAGATATTCCAGTGGAAGCAAGACTGGAACTGAATAATCCACCCATAACTCCAACTCATTTAAGAATATTGTTTTTTCCTCGCGACGTTCCGATCTCTGAATTATTTCTATTTCTACTGACACTAATAATTTCTCAAAAGTGCAACTATAGTGTAAAACAGAATTCCTTTTGTTTCACGTATCTATGGCTGCCAGTAATGTATAATTTTTAATGCGAGCAGAAGCATCTTTATGATTGTATTCAGCCATATACAATACTGTACTGTACAGTATAAGGAACGAGATTTCTAAGAGAATTTAGGTATTAAGAAACCTAGAATAAACTATACAATATACAGCTTCAATTCACTTGAGCTGAGAAAAAAATGCCTCAATATAATGCGTCAGAAATGATGAAGAGGATATTCATTCGAAGTACCTGCTGAATACCGAACAGACTTTTCGATTCCTCGTAGCAGTCTATTTCCTCAGACGCACTCAGAAGTCCACCAGCTGCATATTTCATCTCAAGAAGACCAGCAGATTGTGGCCGGGTATTAACTTCTGGGATCAGCAAGTTCGTCGACAAGGGTGCTGACGTCTCCTTATTCTGCGTCTCCTGCTCAACAGGCTCGCAAGACTTATCCAATTTTGCTTCACGAAGTTTCGCAGATTGCTTAACTTGTTCCTCCAGCAGGGAATCGACTTTATCAATTATTCCCCGCATTATCATCTTCAAGGTGTTCGCTCGATGAATAAGGACTTCTCTCACGTGCATCTATAAAAGGAAAAGTTGGAAAATATAATTGTCACGGATATTGAACATATATATATGCGTGACTCAATCTAATAAACTCTCAAAAGCGGGAGTATTTCAGGGTCTCATCAACATATAATGACGAGCTTTGCGTCGAAGGATGAAGGGATTACGTGAAACAAAGAAAACAATCCTGAAGTCACACGGACAATGACAATTGATCAACTACTGGTGAAGAAAAAGGAACATCTTTCGTTTTTTGGGACTATGACTCGTTACTCCGTAACGGGAAGAATTTAGCGGCGTTCTCAGGACGATCACTCTCCGTTAAGATAAGAAAAACAAGAGAAAATGGGGAATCGTGAAAAATGCAAGAAAATAATCATTGAATTTGCTTCATGTTGTCAATTCAATATTTAAGGCATTTGTATCATCTGGATTTTACAAGAAAAAGCCACATATTTTTGCATGCGCTAAAAAATTGTCGATATGACGCCACAACTCAACTCCATCAATTTTATTTGAATCAAGCATCATGATGATATGTATAGCTCCCCGAAAAATTTACTTTTCGTGGGTATAGTTGCGTGTGAATCACCCCGTAAAAAGTGTCTACCTGTTCCTGCTTCAGACGGTTCACGGCTTCCATTTTCGTCTTCGTCAATTTTGCAGGACTTGCGACAACATTTGCACTCTGATGTTTCCTCGCGGGTGTCGCAGATGTACAAGACATTGTCATAGCTTGACAACAGGGAATATCAAGTTTCGGCTTGCTGTCACCGATCGGACGTCCGCTCAACATCTCCAACACGTTGCCCTCGTACTCATCCGACGTGTCTATGTGAGTGGCAGTTTTAGTCTGCTTGAATTGCTGTCTCTTGGACCGCAGTCTTCTCAAGACATGCGGGTCTTCTCTGTCGGAGCCATTGGATTCAGAGTCATCCAAGTGCTGTTGTTCGGCAGGATCGTCGCTGTTCTCGCCATCTGCCGATCCCGCGTGACTACTGTTGTCAGACTCGTCATCCGTGGCACGATCGTCGTCGGAGAAATTATCCTTCATTTCCATAGTGTGTGTGCAGCGCGTAGATACTGGTGCATCCCTTTCGGATTTTTTCGCAGTTTTAGCCGCATTCAAACTATTCGTGGGACTTTCTTCGCGTTCGCGCTCTGAACACGGCTTGGTGGGTGAACTCCGTGGTACGCCGCTATTTGCTTGATACCGTTTCGGAGATGATGAATGACCGACCTTAGTTTCTGCTTCCTGCAAAAATTATATTGAGACTCATTCCAGGAAATCAAAAATGAAAGAAGAAACCATCGTCGGCATAAAAAACTTCCTCAAAATACAAAATCCGTTACTTTTTTGTTTTGTTTGACAGAAGCGCATTAATGATATGATTTCCCCTAGCTCAAAGCTCATCAGAAAATGGTTCTTCCTCACTTAACGCCCCACCCAACGAATTATATAATGAGAAAAAATAAAGGTCAAAATGTAGTTGGACCTCGATTACTCGAACGTCCCCTAGTCAAATACCTTCCTATGTCGATTTTTTTCCAGTCCCTTCGAAATAATGCATTAAAAACATCCCTCTAACTCAAAGGCTTTCCCCTCAAATCTCCAAAACTTAAATTTCTTCCTACCGGTATGTATTTTATCAACATATGAAAATTAAAACAATACAAATATAATTTGATGGGTTTCGAAAGGCAAGTAAATAGTTGCCTCCAAGTTCAGCATTCTGTCAACTTATTTAAAAAGCAATTCAAGGCCCAGAATATCACCAATTGAAATTTCTAGTAATTCTCCCGTTTTCCCAATAAGAATGCTCGTTCCCCCCGCTCAATTTTTTCGTTGGTCTCTTGGAGTTCGACAGTAACTTCAATCTGACCTAATGTGTCATAACTATGAAGTAACTTGGCGTTAATAACAGATAATTTTCATGAAATTCAGGTGACAGATACGTAATGGTAGAGAAAAATCACTGATTTTAAGACGACGGAAGTTGAAGTATCGCGAAAAACTTGAGAAATCAAGCGTGAGAACAGAATTCACACCTTCAGTGAAGACTGCTGATTTTGCGCGTGATGCGATGAAGAAAAATCGCTGCTGCTCGCCTGTTCATCGGGTGACCTAGAATCATCGTTCATCTGATCGCTGGGTGACTCCTGCTCCAGCAAGGTCAACGGATCGCGATCGCTACTTCCGAGACTGTTGCAGGCATTCTGATCTTCGAGTCCGTACACGTCAAGGTCGATGTCAAACTGACTCGCGCCACTCACACAAACTCCGGGATGTTGCTGTTGGTACAAAGTCGCTTTCGTATCCGCAGCACGTTTAGTGTGAAGAGCTCTCAGAAGGGAATCTAAGCTTTCTTGCAAAATCCCACATTTTTTCGTGATCATTTGTTGCGCTTGTGGGTCCAATATAGTTGGTTCCGCTTCTGCTGGAGGTGACACATGAGTTTCCAGGACATTTGTCACACACATAACAAAGGCTTTGATTGTGTCCTTCAGGATCCTGGAAACGAATTATGAAAAATATACCAGCGGTTAGAAGCCCTCCACGAAGATAATTGATGTATTGAGGTTGGTACAGCTCATCATCATGATTACTTTCAATTACAGAACAGCACATTTTCAACTTGAAACATCACAATTATACTAGAACAGCCTTATCTTCTCGTAGGGATTTCCGGAGAAAATTTGAAACATTTTCAATTCAGTACAGGTATTGTCAATAAAATCTTGAATATCGGGTTCGGGTTATTTTGGTGACATGAAATAATTCAACGCTACTTACTTTACGGCATTATCGACGACGTGTTTCTCTTGAGCTTTCAAGAGGGTTGCAATTTGTGCAAAAACTGTATCTTCGTAAGCAGCAATCGGCAAAAACGCCGACAGAGAACTGATCTGATGCGTCAAGGGAAGAGAAATATCAGAAAAGCAGGAAGGATTTCCAGGAGGTATCAGCGGACTCTTCGCCAAATGATGTGGATGAGGCATAGGTGATGTTGCCCGAGAGGAGGTTCTCGAATTTTGCGCAGCTCCGGGATACAGGTAAAAGTTATTTCCTCCTGGAACCGCTTCCTTCATACCAGTAGAAACTTCGTTGATCGGCTGAGCCAAATGAGATTCTCTCGTCATTATGCTCCATCTGACACGCAAGTACAGCCATCATGAAAAAATGTAAAGAAAATGAGAAAATGTAATTTATAATTTCCCGGCGGTACTCAAGATTGTCACTGATTAGATTCTAGGCAAGAAAATTTGGATTCGATCAGTCTTATTGACAACTTAATTGATTTTTTCTCAGTTCATGGGAAAAAAAATTCGGAGAAATCCACTATCCATTCGAGCCTTCCTTAACGGATTTTCCAGTCATCGGGAAATTTACCAATGGTTTACTGATGCGTTTAAAGTTCTCATAGTACTACACCAGTTCTACCTCCATTCCATCAAATTTCGCTCAATTAATGCACGTCAGTCTGGTTCAGTTTGTCATGTTTTTTATTTTTTTGGATCAGCGATCCCACCGGTACAATCAAGATTAGCCTGCGAAATTAAGGTCAGTGGCTAGGCTGTACCTGTCCATCATTTGTGGTACTCCTTTCTCGTATCTCCCGAGCAAAGTAGGAAGATGTGCGTCGTCGTCACAGCTACTTCCCCAACCCAGGACCCGGGCAAGATCATTACCAGTGCCCAGGGGAAGTATTCCAACCTGACATTGTTTCTGCTCAAAGCGAAAAATCGATCAGTCGGCACATGAAAAGCGGAAGTCCCTTCATTGCGTATTTTCAGATACATACGTGCATGGCAAGTTTATCGATTTCAGCCAGGACCCATGCAACTGAACCATCACCACCACAAACCAAGATTCTGAAGGGGTCGAATGCCCTGAAGAGTTTCAAACTGTTGGGTAGATAGAAAATTAAAGGTCTTCAACTTCAACACAACAGAAAGTCACAAAAAATGTTTACACAATTGCTCCTCATTTTCTAGCATTCCTTGAATTTGTCTTAGGATTTATCGATGTACTAGTGGTTTAATCTTACAATTCAATAGGACAATACTCCGAGTTCACATAAGAAAAAAAAAAAACACGAACCAGGGAATGGAACTAGAAATTACACCATGTGAGAATGGTTTGCTTCGCCTCCGTTGTTTTCATGAGGTTTAAAAATTATCATGGTAATGGAGCCAGAATCTTATTTTAACCATCTGAAAATCCCAGTTTCCCATTAGATACTCCACTTCGCGCGGATACCCGAAACTCTTTATACACTGCGTTGTTTACTTACCCAGTAGAAGGCCCCGATACAGACAAGTCGAACACTTGTGCTGGATTGAGTAATTGTCGGAACCTTTTGAAAAACTTGACTCCAGCATGATTGTCACCCGATTTTGAATTAACGAAAACAAGCAGCGGTGATGAACCTACAGGCCTAATAACTTCGTAAGGTTCGTCAGCTCCGGTCAAACCCAAGGAATGCAACGACGTCGGTGGAACGAGGGAGACTCGGGCCGGCCCAAGATTGCAAACCTAAAATGTGGATTGATTCGCGCCAATAAGTCTTATCTTCGGAAAATTAATGCTTGTCGATTATTAATAGTAAAAAAAAAAAAAACCATCACTCACCGGTGGAGCACCAGGACGACATGCAGTGTGTACGCAGTCCTTGCACCACATGCACCTCCAGTCTTGCAGGCGCAAAACGGATCCACAGGCTTTTTCACAAACGACGCATTTGGCAGAGACCGGGAGATTGCCCTCGATCCACTGGTGAGGCATTCCCAGAGACTAGAAAACGTCGTTAATGATGCAGTTCCGAACAATATCTAGGACTTCATCTCAGTTTCAAACTTCGCATCGGAACGAGAGAACTCTGATGTAATCTCTGACTTTTACATCAAAGAGTATTTCGGGCAACAACGCAATGAAACACAAGGTTTATACTGAAATCAACTGATCGATCAACTTCATTCGCAAAAAACACAGGAGGAAAATAAAAGTGAAAATGGAATGAATGAAAAAATGTAAAATAATGAGCTAACAGCAATTTTGACTAATATCATCATGCAAAATATAAAACCAACGGGAATAACAAAAATGATATCACGAATGAGATCACAGAACGAAAAATCACAGCGAATATCCTCATAGGCGTGCAATAGAGAGAGCACGTACCCCATCTTCATTTTCAATTATGTCTCTTCCAACAGAAGCTAACGTGGTCCACTTGCAATTCTTCACAGCTTTTGCAGCACAAGACTTGTGCGCCTTCAATTTACAAACTTCGCAACTCAGGCCGTGAGAGGTAACACCTCGCAAAGCTTCACGACACAGATTGCAGTATGTTGGTCTCGCATGCGACATGGCTTCCCAAACGTGATGACCACGCAACGAGTCCAAGCATGCCTTTTCCATGGCAGAGGCCTGAAAAAATCAAACGAATGAAATTAAATTGAACAAAAATTCAGGGGGAATACTAGTAAAGTGCTAGATGCTTACCTCGTGGTAATGCACATGATCGAACAAATGGTGCGACGAATGATGATGCCCATGATCGCGCTGCAGATGGTCATGATAGCTGATGGGATGACTCCAGTCTCTGCTGTAACTGTCGTGGTGGGATCCGTACTGATTCGAACTGGGTCCGTAGGAACGTTTAGCAGACATGATCGGAGCAATGCCAGCGGTGCGACCGCCACCACTGCAAACATGATGGCCCAGTATGGAGCCGGCAACCCACTCTTCCATAGTTCCAGCCAGACTTGAGAATAGTTATCCTTTTTGACATTCTGCAGGAATAAACACGTTCTAAAGGGCTGAGCAGTAATCTTACGTCATACTCAGGAAAAACAGCATTGAATATCTTACGTTTATCGCCAAAATATACGCAAATACATGTTTAGATTCGTGGAATTTCTTCAACCAACGTATCTCAACGGCGTACAAGAGGCGATCATTCGCTTCATTCATAAGTGCAAATACTGTACCTCTACTGTGAGCAGTGAAATAGACGTTGATTTAAACATTTTAATCTAGAATCGAGGCCAAGCGAAGACAAAGTCGATAATGCTCATTCACATTGTCCATCAAGAGATGTTAACCTCGTGAACAGTACTGTAATGAGATCAGGTCACGAACATAATCACACGCTTTACTAAATTCGCACTGCCTCAGTTTCAAGCAGTTAATTTCCCGCTTCTGACTTCCTCTGTTGTAGAAATACGGAGAACGATTGAATTGTGCACGAATATCGTTGATGGGGACGCATTTGTGAGGCAAACTTAATACACCCTATCTTTCCCAGAACAAACCACAATACTTGCAAAAAACGTCATCTTAAATTCGAGGAAATACGAAAGGGTTTCACAACAGAGCTAAGGAAATGTTGCTGAAGAATACGAAGGTCGTAGCAATAAATCCTACGCAGCACGAAGACACTCCGGAGATTATGAAGCATACCATTCAATGACTCACCGATTAAAAATTCTTTCAGAACAAAATAGCTTCCGGGAATCCGACTGAGGCAATCAAATACAACATCCATGGGAACCGATGAATTTCAGGTACACAATCGTACATTCACGCACAAGAAAAATGAACACAAAGTATCATCAGAGCACGCCGACTACACACGATCACGACAAAACCAACAACCTAAAAAATGAAATCGAAATCATGAGCGGATTTAGAAAGCGAGGCCAGTGCATCAGGCCCGAATGTAATAACCGAATCACACGCAACTAACTTTCGGTCGCACATAAAATTCAGAAAGGGAGAATGCTGCAAAAACTGTACCAACATTGATGAAGGAAGACCGAATAAGCACTGTCACTCGGAACGTTTATCACGAAGGACTCTAGGCCTATTTGAATTACTCTTAATGCGCAATAATTTCAATCAGCAATTCACGCAGATGTCGGGCACTAAATGATGACCTCCCGTCAGGTTCCTAGCAATGCAATGACCTCGAAAACTCTGGTCATCTATGCGAAGCGCGATGAACTAAAATATGTGCATCCTTGCAATGACATCTACAATAGAAAATCGAAACAATGCTCCCATTGCAATCTTCATTTTCAACAATACAATACTGCACTCACACTCTGCAGCTTTGATATTTTGGGAACGTCCTTTTGACCCCCCAGACTTGCAATTTCATGATCCAACCCAAGTCCTGATTTGTTCTAATATACTGTGGATACAAATTCTCAAGTTAAAATGTGCGTGGATACCTTAATTCTGTATATACCGTATGCTGTATACAGTATATACTGTATATATACAGCACTTCAGTGGCTGAGTGCAGTAATTTCGTTTTGTCATTTTGAGGCAAATCAGTTTCACAAGAAAATTCCAAGAAGAGAGAAGATAATATTGAATCTTGAATAGTTTTGACAATACTGTATCAGCTGCGGTTTATGATTATCATAGCATAATTTAAAAATTCAAGTCTCTAACAAACAAAAGCGCATCATAAATTACTATGTGTCTTTAGTAAATACATTATGCTTCTGATTTATGTAAATATACTGTCTATATACGAACACAGTTCAACACCCATTTTGAATTCTCTCAGTGATTGTTCATACAGTACTGTAGTATTCATATCCACCAGCACAATAATGTATTTTCACATACTGTACTGTGTACTTCAATCCATCAATCATCTGTTCATGATTCAGCAGCACTATGTATCAATAATTCTACTGCTGGATTTACGGTTGCCATGATGCGAAGCGGTGTTCTGATGTTATGCAGTAGATGTCATCGCGATCAAGCGCGAATATCAACTCATCATAATCTTTCTAGATGTCGCTCATGCATGAGATACACACTAGAGGTCGCCAAAGGGAAACTAGCGCCAAATAATCGTAAAAGCATGTCGCAAAGGCGTGGGCCTCTATTGCGTCGCCATTTGCAGTAAAAAGTCGATACGCAAAGCGAACACAGCCTTTCGCAAAGAGCTCTGATGCATATGGTAACGCCGTCGCCACAAGGGAGCATTCAACCCTTCATTTGCTTGGAACGTCGGAACAGCCCCACGTACGCGATAATAAGGGCAACGACGAGGAAACCTCCCAGTGCAGCGAAATCAATTGGCAAATTATCAATCTTCAGTCCAAGCCGTTCGAATAAAATATCACGCTCCTTGGGATAATCTGCCAGTGAAGAAATATAAATACTTTATTACATAGTGAAGAACGATTGCTTCCATACCCGCGTACCGATTTATAGTGATTTTCAAAAATCCCATCTACAGCATGCAGAATGCTTGGTACCTCCAGGACAGATGACTTATATTTGTCCAAATATGAAAAGCCTGATATGTTATCCGAAATAACTTTCCATCATTCAGTATCCTTTATAGAAGTACTGTATATATACGTATAGCTGTAAATACATACCGTATGTATATACTGTACGCAGGTATACAGTTTATTAAAATGGCCAAAACGCATAGTACATAGTACAATATACGAGTATATTGACTGAAAAATTAAGTGCATGTTCAACGCAAACAATAAGAACATACTCTGGAAAGCACCAGTTTCGAACTTATGCGCATGGCAACTACCGTATATTCTCTAATCCACTAAGTCGATTATTGAAAAAATGACTTGTCACATTAAAGTATATCCAAATTAGCCGAGCCTGATTTCAGTACATTGACATTTAAAGCCATTACGCTATACTGTAAATCTAAAGTTCAATTGGATACCACATCAAAGTTTAAAAAATTATGCGAATCGTTTTCAGGTGTACATTTACTTATTACATGACTTCGCGTACATACAGCATATCTTCATTATTTATGGACTGCATAATATAATACGTACATACAAATAGAGGCATCACTAAAATTATCAGTGAAAACATGCATTTTGTACGGAATTTTACCTGTGTTTTTTGTCTGAAGTATAAGCGCAGCTTCCAGACCATATCTAAGAAGCGAATACCATTGCAACCAGCGGACGTGGGGCCTCACTGCACTGAAAAATATTTTTATACATCACTGTTAAGGTATCATTTATGCATATACTGTAGCACGAAGACCGCAATTTATGCTACAAAAATCAGTTTCTTTTTCTTGCCTGCGGCTCGATCATCAGAAAAATTTTGCGATAAAAAATATTTTCAGACTTTAATTCATGGACTTATTATTATTGAGTTGTTGAGAAGGTTTCGCATGCTGCATTCAGAATACAGTACTGTATTGCAGTCATATTTGCGTGGATGAACTTTCCTATTTTTTATTCATGGCATTGTCGCATTGATTCGATTGATTTTTCCAGTGCCGCGCGATTGTCAAAACAGTCAACTTTTGTCAGCCTCAAATGTAATCCACCTCATATTCTTGAACTTTTTCAGCGTTCTCATATAAAATTATAATTTTCAACTGAATTTTTCACCTGCCATTTTCTGGATTTACTTTTTTCGTTTCCTTATTTGAATAGTATAAAATGAACCCCACAGTATTCACACAAGTGAGAACAATACTGTATTTTTGGTGCGGTAAATACTGTACTCTTGTTTTCATTTCTTTTCAGATGAGCTCAAAAAGGTTAGGTTTATTTCAGACTACAGCATACGTGGGTAAAAAAAAAATCCCTTGAAAAAAAGAATGCGAATTGATTCGCGAAATTTGTGGGAGGAATTAAAATCCTCATGTTCTGGACACATGATACTGTATATGCAAAATGTGTCGATTAGATGTACTCACTTGTAGTTTCCAAAAGTACCAGCCGCCCAAATCATTGGCAAATACGTTGTAACTGTGACCACAATGGATGTGTCCAGACTTTGTATGTAAGACACCGCCATCAATGCTACGCAATTAAGCACACATTTTTGCGGAATATCATTTAAAATTTTTGAAACAGACACGAATATCGCCTTATACACGGATTATCGACGTACATACGCTTGAAGTTGAAAATTAAATCAACTCGAAATCTCAAAACACATTTCTTGAAATGAACAGCAATAAAATTGAAAGAGGATGTAATATACATATTAATAAGTTCCGTTTTACACGAGTTCTCCTTTATTTTGTTTTATTATAGCACATTCTTTACAGGCGTCCGGAACAAATTTTTATGAAGGACTGTATGGTATAAAAAATCGTATTTTATAAAACTTGTTTTCACCTCTAATCTCAAGGCACTATCACACATTTCTTGTCTGGAACATATGAGTGGGCCAGTGCAATTTTCACTACTGAATCAAATTAAGATGAGAAAATCCAACTTGTGCCGCACTAAAAAATTTGAAAAAGAAAAGCTACACCCTTTTTGTGCACAAAATTTAGTACTGCATTATTGCAGAAAGTACGAAATAGGATGTCCGATTGGGATTTTATTTCAGAATTTAGAAATGGCTCACTCATTTCGAATATATATTATGTTTGAAAGAATATCCTCTCTCCACTCCGAGAAAAATACAGTTCAAATGAATAAATGCGTTCTTCTCGCACATTTCATTGCACCTCAAATTTCAGTAAGATTAGTAAATGTTTAGGAAATTTGAAGCAGGGCAGGTTCAAAACAAAAAAGAGGGTATTTTATGCTCTGAAGTTTTCAAAATTATTTAATCAAAAGCTAAATTATGAGAATTCTCAATATATCCGTGTGAGGAATTTCAATACCCGTACTCTAAAGGAGTTTTTACGTGATTCCCATTACAATTTCAGCCCTGCATATTTTAAGAACCTCGAATATCATAAAAATATGTCCTTTTGAATTCTTTTTTCCCAGGTTGGTTACAACAAGATTATACCAATTATATATACCAAGGCCGGCGAAGCAAATCGATGCATAAAATAGAGTGCCCAACATTTTGAAGAAAATCACGGGATCCGTGTCCAGTCCCGCCAGGAAATAATATGGAATGGCGAACAACAGAACATCAAACACAGCATAACACATCTGAAAAAAAAAAAATAGCAGAAGATTTAAAAAAGTAGAGTTTAAAAACCGGGAAAATTTTTCATCCTGCTTTTAAATAAAACAAATCCAAGATGAACTCGACTAATTAGAAGTTATTGTTTGTCAGGCAAAGAAAAGAAGGTTCAGTTTATAAAATCAAGCATAGTTGTTTTGATTGTTAAATATACAGTACGTTAATTTTTAATTTAACGGAATTTGTCCGGCAACACGGCGACTCTAGCAAAAAATAAAGTTGAATCTCCTCAAGTCGAATTTCAAGGGACCAGCAACAATTTGGGTAATTTAGGGAGGTTTTGAGTGCGAAAAAAAGGCATTTTAGTTCTGGTAAAGCAAAAAGAATTTCCGTAAATTTTAAATGGCAATATTCTGGCGCTTAAATTGTTTATTCTTGAATGAGTTGACAGGTTGCTGAACTTGGATGCAAGAGTTCATTTGCCTAATCAGTCTTTCACTTATTCCCTCCAAAACAACTTCTTCCCTTTTTTATTGCTTTTCTCTTCCCTGTGTCTAGAAAGTAATAGCCAAAAATGCCTCATAAAATTTGAGTTAAGGGGGTTCTTGAGGGGAAAAACCGCTGAAGTAGATGTGTTTTTAATGCATTTCCCCCCAGGGAATTCAGCCAAAGACTTAAAAAAATTTGGTGTAAGTGCCAAGAAGAATTTCTCAACAAATAAAGGTTCTTAAGTTTTGAGTTTAGAAGTTTGAAATGAAACACAAGAATTCAGTTGGGCTGCAACTGGGGTGAGAAATCACCCTATTTTAAGGTTGGTGTAATTCAATTTTGAACGCGTAAGTTTGAAAAGCAACAATTTTGCGCAAATTGCTGAGAAACAACACACACAAATGTTTGAGTTGGAATATTCAAATTTTGCAGATTTTGGAAAAAAGGAAAACTGTCCCTCAAGGATGAAAAACAGCAACAGGATTTTAGCAATAAAATACAGCCTTGAAGGCTCAGAAAGAAATGTGAGAACTAAGGTCTTCCAAGATTCTCACAGAGATGAAATGAAGGAGGATTTTTTACTGAGAATTTGGGTTCTCTGATGTTTCAGTGACTAATTTAATACTGCTGGTGGATTTTTGCAACTTTAAGGAGGCATTGGATTTAGAATACCAAGATATGATGAAGTGAACAACAAAACTTACGAAAACAATCCACTTGGCGACGAAAAAGGAGCTGAGTGCATAGAGCCCATTTTGAATATCATACAAAGATCTCCCAATCACAGGAACGAAAGTGTACAAAATGACGAAAATCTCGGTGATCATCGAGTCAACAGTCAGTGCGTATAAGGCACCCATCAAATTCTGGCCCC